ATATATATGACATTGTGGAAAGAGACCACTGGCATGTTGTTTTTCAGGGAGAGAGTGAAAGTTTCAGCTTCTCACTTGTTCCCTGAGATGCAGATTTGAAGGATTGTAACCTAGAGCAAAGGCTTTGAAAGTAGTTGGTTATAAAACATAAAGTAACCTTTTCACCCCTTAGAAGACGTTATATCCCTGCTGTGGGTTGTTGATAAGTTCAAGGCCCCTCAAAGATACTACAACTCATCATTGTTCAATGTACTTCTGAGGCTCCATAGAGGAAGTAATTTCTTATTTTGCATGCTAATTGTAGACACCTAAAATATTCTCTTAATGCCCAATCTGTTTTCCAGATCCATTTTACAAGGTGCTTTTACAGAGCAGCTAGGGGCTAAAGGCTAGGCAAATGTGTAGACATACTGTCCTCTCTTCCAGGATTAATTTTTTGCATTACATCTTTAGATTTCGGTTAACCTGCTTTGAGTTTCCTGACTGTTCAGAGTTTGCCAAGAAGGCTGTTAGTTATAGAACATATGCAGATTGCCCAGACTCTGGAGGGTGTATCTCTGTCTCTAAGAGATATCTGCATATAGACCAAACCATGTTGGAGGGTGTGTGTGTTGTGTTTAAGGGGCAGGGAGTACAGTCTTTAGTAACCAATTTTTTTGACCATATATGTCACTTTTGTGCACTAGCGACTTGTTTTCTTTGCTCTTTCCAGGTAAATATGCAGAGGACATTTTTGGAGAGCTCTTTACTCAGGCAAATACCTTTGCCTCTCGGGTAAGCTCCCTTGCTGAGAGGGTCGACCGCCTACAAGTTAAAGTCACTCAGCTGGATCCCAAGGAAGAAGAAGGTAAGGAAGCTGAGCTCAGCATTTGCAGGCTCTGCTGAGCAGTTTCTTAGAATTATTTTTCCCCTGATTTATAAAAAAAAGTCAGAGACCTGTGGAGTTCTGCTTTGAAGTGACATAAGCATGGGTGGTGTGAAGAAACCTTTTTAGCTGTACCACACCCCACATACTCCCTTTCTCCCATTCCCCCAATTCTCTTTCTCAGACTTCCCCTCCCCCAATCATATTTTGCTACCATAAAAGTACTTGGAAGATTCATTCCTCCTAAGGAGAGGCCTGCTAGATCTGGCCACATAGTAAACCTTTGTGTTGCCTCATTTTGTTCAGTCGTGAAATGGCTGGGCTGCTGACAGCTTTGGGCTTCCCCAGAGGGGGAGGGAAAAAAAAAACCTGGCTGCAGCCAAGAAATGCAGCAGCTGAGGCCTCTCTGACTGGTGTGACTCAGTGTTTGCTCAAATAGCCTGTCGTCCATTTTCTAATGCCTTCCATCTTCTCTCAGTGTCACTACAAGGAATCAACACTCGAAAGGCCTTCAGAAGCTCTACCATTCAAGACCAGAAGCTTTTTGACAGAAATTCTCTCCCAGTGCCTGTCTTGGAAACATATAACACCTGTGACACTCCTCCACCTCTCAACAATCTTTCCCCTTACAGGTAATAACTAGCTAGCTCCTCCCTTTATCCTGCCTAAACATAAAAAACACTGGGTTGTCTTTTTACCTAAAGATGTTATTTATATTAAGATTGTATCAAACAGCTTTAACAACACCAAAGTTTCTTAGGGCAGCAGAACCTGAAGTTTACCATATAAACAGTTGTCATTTATTTGGTTTCTGAAATTTATATTGAACATATATTAAAAGTTTTCTATAGCACTGCATGCTGCAGAATTTTAATTTGGTATAACCCAGGTCCATTTTGGACTTTAGCCAAGGAATTTAGTTATTATAGAACCAAAAGGACTTTGTTACAAGGCGGTCCTATAACATAGATCCCAGGGGCAACATTCTAGCAAGGCTCCCACTTACTTGGAAACCACTAGATTACCAGATGTTTGAGTGTGTTAGTGGGGCCAGCCTAATGGAGTGGTTCCTCAGGGCCCTGAGGGGTCCCTTTTGAGGGGTCCTTCCAAACCTTAAAGAGTATTGGCATTCTTCCAGATGAGTACCATTTACTTTGTTTTGTACACCCTTTTCAACATTTCCTTCTGAAAGAACCTACATATACTGCTGTGGCTGAACTTGAAAAGGATGATAGCCTTACAGACACTGTAAACCTCTCCACCCCCACCTCCTACCCCCCGTGGTCTGATATTATTGTCACACTCCAAAAAAACCACTGAGCAGGGACAGAAAGTGAATATTTGTCTTGCTTGCATCCATAAGTATATTTGGAACAGGTAAAAAGTAATTATAGATAGCTGGAGGCAGATGTCTTCTGTGAGACATGGGTACACTGCAAACTAGAATATGTGTGTGTATGTGTGTGTGTATGCATGCATGCACTGCGTATGTGTACCTGTGAAGTTCAAGGACATCTGCCTGATTTAGGGAGCCTGGAGTAGGAGCGTGGTAGCCTCTTACACAGAGCAAAAGTGCACTGCGTCTTTCCTGTACTGCTGTGTGAAATTATGTTTATCTGTTGACTTTCAAAGGATGTAGCTAGCAGAGCAGGACAGAGATCTGACTACCTAGTCTCCATTATTTAGTCTAGTTGGGTTTGGGCAGGGGGATCGCACAGCTGATAATATTGAAAAGAAAGTGATAACACAGAGTTTGTGTGGTAGGGTAATAAGAAAATTTTATTTTCTAGTTAATAGTATTTTCCTTTTTAACATGCAATACCAGAATTAATACCTCCTCTTAGTTATCTGGATTTGGCATAACAGAAACGAACAGTGGTATAGCTAACTTAGAGCAAGATTTAAGGTATAAAATCATTAATGTTTGATTTGGAAATGTTTTCTGTATGTTGTGATAGGATTGGAGGCCTGGGAATAAAATTTGCCTTTCTGATTTTTTTTTCTTTACTTTTATTTAGTTTGTTATTGTTGTTGAGAATAAACACAGAAACAGTTTCTACACATACTATTCAGTGATGTATACACAGCAACAGTTTCTATACATACAATTCAGTAACATTGGTCACATTCTTCAAGTTATGCAACCATTGTCACCCTCCTTTTCTGGGTTGTTCCTCCTCTATTAACAAACTCATTGCCCCTTACATTTCCTATCTAAACTTTCCAATTGTGTTTGTCCAATTCTTTTTACTTCAGAATAAGTTAAAATGTCCACCTCTAAGCTCATGCTTTCAGGAGAGTGAGAATGACTTAGCCATGCCAAAGTGCAGGATTCCAACCTGGATCATTGAGTCTGGCACAGATAACCCTGATGTTGACACTCAGTAGCTGACTCTATGCTGTTGTCACAGCCACTAGAGATGTGATTAAATCCTGTGGTCATGAGACAGTTGGCCATCTGTTCTCACTGGGGCCCCCTTGTGGTTGGGGGTAGATGGATGCTGAGCTATTCTAGAAAGGAGCAAGAAGGTAGAATGCTGTGGTTATCTGTGTTTGACAGAAGAATAACACCCATACACACATATGAACTTGAACACATGTGCACAGGTTTCGGGTGGGTGGGAACCCACTGATGCTGCCTCAAGAGTTCTGAGTAATTGGTAGGGGGAAGGGGAACCAGTGGTGGAAACCCTCTCTTATGTGCCAGGATATCAGGATGTCCTCAGGGAAATGTTTGTGGCCATGCAGATCATTAGAAATAATCAGGATCTCTGCTGCTAAAGCACGTTCTTGTCCTGACCATGCAAATTCTTCTACCAGGAATTGAAAGTAAAAGCTAAGATTCTTAAGAAGCCAGGTAACTGAAGAGGTGGATTCAGTGGCATTGGAACACTGGTATGGGAGAGGAAATACGCAGTTGATTTGAATGATTTCTTAATTCCTCAGTGTAAAAACTGCTAACTGGTAGGTGTTTGGAATATTGGATTTGGTTGGGAGCTCATCTGTCTCCTGACAGCTACTTGTCTTCATTTCTATCCCAGGGATGATGGGAAAGAGGCACTCAAATTCTACACAGACCCTTCGTACTTCTTTGATCTTTGGAAGGAGAAGATGCTGCAGGACACCAAGGATATCATGAAAGAGAAGAGAAAGCATAGGGTGAGGGGAAAGGGGCATCTGTTCTGCACATCAGTAGGCACGATTGTGGAGGGGAATAAAAAGAAAGCCAGCCTTATGTGAAGTAATCATTCGAAGTGGCTGCTTGCTTGGATGCCGGGTGAAACTCTAAAAAACATTGTGTCTACACCAAGCACAACCAGAATGAAAGTATAAATCACACCAAAAATGTGTTTGTTCCCTCCAGCACTATTAACAATTAAGTATATTCAGGCGGAGTTTTAGAAATTGACTTTTCTGTTCTCCATTTATTTCTCTTGCAATTTGTACCTGACTCCGCTGGACTCTCAAACTAGGCTAGTCCCTTCTCTACCAGTTTTGCAGCTCATTTCTCAGAGATCAGCACAGGGCTCTGCAGTGTTTGATTTGCAATGAGCATTTTAACACCTTCACTATTGGCTGGGTGGGGCCGATGAGATATGCCTCAGTTTTAGAGATGCTCCTCTCCCTTTAGGTCTCTAGTGGTGTGTGTATGCGACCTACCACTGCAACCTCACAATCCCATTAGCATGGCTGCCGGGAGGCCCAAGAGAGCGCCACGGGCTAGTGCAGCTGTACAGGCTGAAGAATTCATTGGTTTTGTTTTGTTTGTTTGTTTAATTTTAACTATTTCCTGCCAGGCTATCTGCAGTTGTCATTAATTCTCATCTCTTTTGACTGATCTTTGTGGTGGAGGAGTAATAGCAAATAACTGTTTACTAAATTCCTAACAATTAGAGCTATTAAAAAATGTGAATGTTACCCATAAAGGTAGTGGGTTTCCTGTCACTAGAGGTATTTAAGCATGAGTTTGAGCAAATGTTTCTCCCAGATGACATTCTCGGTCACTCCAAACCCAAATTATAATTCTATGAATTCTGTATTGTTACTCCATGTTGTCTAGGCAAAATCATATTTTGAGTGTGTATCCATGAAGATGGGTGAATTTTAATGACTAATTTTGAAAAATATTTCATAAAGGCTTTTTGGTTCCTTCTCATTACAGAAAGAGAAGAAAGATAACCCAAATCGAGGGAATGTGAACCCACGTAAAATCAAGACACGTAAAGAAGAGTGGGAGAAAATGAAGATGGGACAAGAATTTGTGGAGTCCAAAGAAAAGCTGGGGCCTTCTGGGTAAGTGATGCTTTTGTACTCTTGCTAGCATTCTTTGAAGGGGCTGGGGGCTTGGGGACAAAAATCTGACAGCTCTGTCATTACACCTTTCACACCCTCTCCAGTCTGGCTATGTGGCTTAGATCAATACCACTATTAATCAGCTACTTTAAAGTGCATCCATCTGGTGATTAAAATTTGCTAAATAAATCAAGAATCTCAGCAGTTTAAATGAGGTGACTGGAGTGGTCTTGAAAAGAAAGCCCATGGCTTCTAGTGTCCTTATTCTGCCAGACACTAGTTTTATCTGAGGGCCTCAGAGGAAAGACTGGAAAGGAAAGAAAAGTGGTCTTAAGAGGCCTTTGCCTCCAGAGCATTGATTTGAAGTCTGTGCCTAAGAGCCAGGCATTTCAGGGGAGTGGGGAGGACCAGGCAGGGAATCCATGCACATCCAAAGCAACTTTTCAGTCAGGCTTTGTCAGTCTCAGGAGTGAGGCTAGCCAAGAGACTGAATGAGGACCTCAAAAAAGAGTGTGGGAAAGGTGGCTCAGCCAGTATTAAAGCTGTATATCTCCGTGGAGAAACAGTAGACGTCAGTCTGACCCATTTCCCAATACCAAATTACACCGAAGGTTTTAAGGGAAGAAACAGTCTTAAAGCTTGGGTTTGATGCTTATCCTGGTGCCCGATCTATGTGACAGTCAAGGCCAAGGCACTGCAACTGCTTGGCATGAATATCGCCCTGGTTTTTCTCTTAAATACATTGTATCCTGGCTGTCAGAGAACCATGCCAGCCCATGCCGGGTGTCTGGGAATGATGAAAGGAAAGAGTTGAATTGTTCTTGCTCTTAGGGATAACTCTACCGTGAAAACCCTGACTTTAAAAAATCTCGACACTTTTGACACTTGTTTTTCGTGGATTAAGAAATTTGTTTTAAAAAGTGATAAAGATGGTAAGAGGAGAAAATGAACCTTTCTCTCTACAGGGAAACCATCTCTGAGGGTACCTTCATTACCTTCACTTCCCAGTATAAGGAGCCATTTTGTTCTTTGGTCCCATCATGTTCACACAGGCCCTTGTCATAGGTTCAGTGACTCTAAGGCCAGAAGCTTACGTGTCCAAGATGACAACTATTGTGTGTTTATTTTCTTGTGGAATGGGGCTGGAGAAGATGAGGACTTTGCCTCCTATTTTCATGTCATCCTTGGTTTGGGGTTGGGCTGCATCTGGACATGTTTGTTGGTGAACCTGTAAAGAAATGTCCTAAACCTAAGCCTACAGAACTCTACGCATTGGGGACTTTCCACATCAGAGCATCATTTGATTCAGGTAGCTCCCTCCAACTCTGTTCACCCTGTGGTCTGTTTTAGATAAGTTCTTTAGCAATCCAACAATGGTAGAAAGAAGGACAGGATGGAACAGAGCAGGCCAAATTTTGCTAGCTGATTCCTGGTGTATTTTTGCTTGTTTGGAAGTTTGCTGTTCACCTAGAGCAAATTCACCCAAGGCCCAGTGCTCTGAGGGACAGCTTTCCATGAGGCAAGATCAAGCACCTTGCTTTAATCAGCAGCTTATTGTGTTTGATGTAGACCTGGCACAGAGACCAGGTCTAACTACCACACAACAACCTACATTTGTCCTCAGCTTAGTTTTGCAATCAGCTGCCTCCCTGGCCTTTGAGCACTCCAGAGGCTTGCCGACCTCAAAACCAGGCCAAGTGCCAGTTACGCGTTTTCAGCGCATTAGCCTATAGGTCTTGGCTTTGCCTTTTGCCACAAGATAGACTTTGGGATTTAGGTACAGGCTACATCTAACATTTGGGAGAGAATTTAAAAGAACTTCTGTGTTTGGATAGACCAACACTGGGAAAGGAACAGCATGGTTTTGCTAATATGGATTAAATCCCTTTACTATAACAATCAGCAGAAACATCTGTTTAACAACAGAATATTTAATCCTGAAGTAAAATTTCAATATCACAGAAAATATTTGGGGACTGTACTTACAGTATTCTGTTTCTTCCTAATAGCTTTTGTATCAAATGCTTTTTTGTATGTAATATCTTTTTTAAAAATAAGTAAGAGAATACCACTCAGGCTCTTTAAATGACAGTTTTGGCATTGGGTTCATTGTCAGGTATCCACCCACCTTGGTGTACCAGAATGGCAGCATTGGCTCTGTTGAAAATGTGGATGTAGGCAGCTATCCACCACCACCACCACAGTCAGACTCTACTTCTCCACCTTCTCCTTCCTTCTCTGAGGACAACTTACCTCCCCCACCAGCAGAATTCAGGTAAATAGTAGTGCCTCTTCTATCCATTCTAGGTGATTAAACACTCAAGAACAAAATAAGGATTCAAAATCTAGGTTAGGAGCAATAAAATAACTTGTCTAGATAATAGAATAATTATATCAAGTACTTGGGAGGTGCCAGGCATTGTGCTAAACACTGTATGTGTTACTTAATCCTAACAGCAATCCTCTTGAGATAAGTACTATTATTATCCCCATTTTACAGATGAGTAAACTGTGAGGGAGAGAGAGGTTAGAGAAATTACCTAAGGTCACACAGCCAGTAAGGGCCAGAGCCATGATTGGAAAGCAGGTTGGTCTGACTCCAGAGCCCATGTCGGTAAACACTAGCTATTCTGCCTACACCTGAACAGATACAAGTCACCCACTTACCTGTATTTTTTAGTTAGCTTTAACTCACTATGAAACAAAGTGGTAAAACCTGCTGAGCTTAAAATATTTAGCAGACACCTTTTCCAGTTATCTAGGAACTTGGCGAGTAGTTGCCTTTTTCTCCTATTGCTCCTGGCTAATTTGCTGTTGGATAGAATCTCCAGAAAGAAGAGGCAGATGAAACTTAGATGTTTGTCAGTATCCCTGGCAGAGGTACTCAGGGGAAGAGTTAGCCATTCATAGCTGAAAAGAGGTCTGAGGATTGTTCAGATCTCAGTGTTTCCTCACTGTTACTCTTTCCTTTTCTGATGCCTAACAAATGATGAGAGCTTTGAAAGGTGGACTTTTCTCTTTGGACACTTTCATTAGAGGTTGACCATGTTGAGAACCCCTCAGATGAGACCTACAAACAATAGTCCATCCTGTTCATGCCCCTCCAAGTTTTTGGCTGTGGCTTAAAGAACTGTGAAAATTCCAAGATGGATACTTTTCTGAGTAGCTATTAGTGCAGGGCAGGCACAAAGGCTTTCAGGCTCACACATGGCCAGAGACCTTGCAGCTGTAGCCAGGCATATCTGATCCCAGGAAAAGTGTGGTCTTAATCCTCTTTCAGACCAGGTCAGGAGTCTGGTGACCTACTCATTTCCCATCTCTGCAGATCCTCATGTTGAGACTTACTCTCAAGGTTTCCCACACGAACACTGAAGGTGCATCTATCTAAATATATATTTCACTCAGATATGGTCAACTTGGCTTGGGCTTCCTGACCTCACAAAGTCTGGTGAACATTAATAGCCTAAAGACCAGAGCCCAGAGGGTGGGTAGTGTTTGAATTTTTATTCTAGTGTGCTATCTTAGTGCTTACTTCAGGATTAAACTGACAACCGTGTGTTAAACTGTTTCTTCCAGGGGAGGGTTCAGGAGCATGCCTTCCCTTGGGTAGCTAGAAGGTTAGAGGAAGGCCTAAGAGTTAATCTCAGCTAGAATCTGGAGTCGAAGTCTTTCAGGTAGTTTTGTACAATCTCTGCTTATCCACTTCTGCTGATGGGAAACTCACTACCTTACAAGGCTGCCTATTTTATTGTGGTCTGTTCTGATGATTCCCAGGTTTTTCTTTCTATTACAGCCAGAGTAAAGTGGTATATTCCACCAAAATGAACCTAGGTTTGTACATAAACCTAACTACAGGCGTACCTCAGGGGTATTGCAGGTTTGGTTCCTGATCACCACGATAAAGTGAATATTGCAATAAAATGAGTCACACAAATATTTTGGTTTCCCAGTGCGTCTAGAACTTATATTTACACTATACTGTAGTCTATTAAGGAGCTCTAGGAGCATAGTGCCTAAGGCATATGACTGCTAACCAGAAGGCTGGAGGTTCAAATCCACCAGCCACTCCTCGGAAGGAAGGTTAGGCAATCTACTTCCGTAGTGATACCACCTCGGAAACCAAGGAGGGCTCGCCAGGAGTCAGATACAACTCGACAGCAGTGGGTAGTCTATTAAGTGTGCAATAGCATTATAAAAAAGTTTGAAACATTGTGAGAATTACCAAAATGTGGCACAGAGACACAAAGTGAGCACGTGCTGTTGGTGAAAAATGGTGCCAATAGACTTACTCGATGCAGGGTTGCCACAGACCTTCAATTTGTAAAAATAAAGACAACAAACACAGTATCTACAAAGCATAGTATAACGAGATATGCCAATATAGGTTGATATTTGCATCTTGAAATAATAGAGGTCTTTTTTCTTTGTGCTTTTAGCTACTCAGCAGAGAACCAAAGAGGGTCTGTCTTGGCTGGACCCAAAAGATCCAGTATGGTCAGCCCAAGCCATCCACCACCAGCTCCTCCTCTGGGCTCTCCACCAGGCCCCAAACCGGGGTTTGCCCCACCACCTGCCCCTCCACCTCCACCTCCGGTGATTGGTGTCCCACCCCCACCACCACCTTTAGGATTTGGGACTCCAGGAACCCCACCACCACCTTCACCCCCATCTTTCCCACCTCACCCCGATTTTGCTGCCCCTCCGCCTCCTCCCCCACCTCCAGCAGCTGACTATCCAACTTTGCCACCTCCTCCCTTGTCCCAACCAGCAGGAGGAGCACCTCCCCCTCCCCCACCTCCCCCTCCTCCGGGGCCCCCTCCTCCTCCTTTCAGTGGTGATGGCCAGACTGCCATGCCACCACCACCTTCTGATGCCACCAAACCCAAGTCCTCCTTGCCACCTGTGAGCGATGCCCGCAGTGACCTGCTTTCAGCTATCCGTCAAGGTAGATCCCTGTGGTGGGTCTGGGATCATGGGGCTTTGTCTGTCTGCTGCTGGGATGACTGATTAGGGGTAGGGCTCTGTGTCCTTCCCTGAGAACAGCTTTCACTGGATAGGAAGAGATTTGGATGTCAGGTTTCAGATCACCATGAAGAAAGGCTTTATGCTAAGAAACAAAAATTTAGATTTCTCCACCTTGGTTTAAAGTAAGGATTCTTAACCTGGGATCTTTGCACTCCTTGAAAATTTATGCTTTGTGTATGTGCGAAATTTTTTCTTGGGGAAGAATCCTCATTTTTCAACAGATTCTCAAAAGAATTCTGTCCCCCAGAAAAAAAATCAAGACTGAGTCCTAGAAGGTACTTCTGTAGCTGGACTCAGTCCCTCCCTATCTTGCTCTACTTTTCTGCCTTTCATACCTTCCTCCTCTGCCCTCTTTCCCTCTTAACCTTCTTGCTTCTCCCCTTTTCCTTCTATCCTTTTCCCTCTTTTGTCTCCTTCCCTCCCTTTCTTCCTTCTTCCTGTTCCCTCTCCTCCCTCTTAATCTCACCCTCCTGGAGCATTTATTCTCTCTGTCAAAGGGAACAGGTCCAATCCCAATGGGTTACAGTGGTTGTTTCTGTTTCTGATCCTCAAGGAACTTTGAGTCCAAAGGAAACAATCTAGGGTAGCTGGGCTTCTTTATAATCAGTGGCATTGGGCAGGCTGAATGCCTGCTCAGTGGGGTATAATGGCCACTCCCTACACAAAGCCTCATGAGAAGGTACCATCCTCATCAGCCTGAGGTTATAAACCAGGAAGAATGGCAGGCTTCCTTTCAGACACACTTTGGCACAGTTTCATACTTTATCTTTCCTCCTTTTCTTGCTTACTCCTTTCCCTCTGCTTTCCTGGATGGTCCTTCTTTTTCACTGTCCTTTCCAGTACTAGTCCCATCAATTGCCACGCCTCCTTACTTAGTCCTGAAGGGATTTTGAGGTAGAGGACATGCCTTCTCACCCTTTTTCCCTTTCTTTCCCACCAGGCTTTCAGCTGCGCAGGGTTGAGGAGCAGCGGGAGCAAGAAAAGCGGGATGTCGTGGGGAACGATGTGGCCACCATCTTGTCACGTCGCATTGCTGTCGAGTACAGTGACTCAGAGGATGACTCCTCTGAGTTTGATGAGGATGAATGGTCAGATTAACTCTTGCTGCAGCAGCCCACCTCTTTTTTCTTTCCTTCCTACCTGCCTTTTTTGATGTCTACTCCAGGAGTACTGTGGAAGAAAAAAGGGAGGAAGAGAGAATTTCAAGGGGCCAAAGCCTTCCCTCAAGCAACCAAAGATACATCCAAGCGCTTCCTCCAAATCAACATGTATTTCCCCTCCCCCATAGCCAGCCCCCTAGGGCTCCTGAGATTCAGTAGCTGTTTCCTCTTCCCTTCAACTGCCTGTTGCATACTGAAGGGAAGGCAAAACCCCAAAGCACATCCCTTTGATTGGGTTGAAATTGGAGATGATGCCTTCTTGTAGGGGCCATTTCCAAACTGTGGTCTCCTTCTAGGATCCTTGCCCTCAGCTGCTTTGAATAATGCCAGCCATCTTCTGGTCCTAAACAGTGAGAGTGGCGCCTGCATGAACACAGCTGGCCTCTCTCGTGTGACTGAGAGGGCAGAGCAGGCTGCCGAGCCCTCCTGCCCTGATCTGTAGGGTGGTGCTGCCTTCCACTAAGCCATCTCTAGGCCTGGGATGCCCATTATTCTGGGAGGCATCTACCACCTAAAGAATGTCTCACCTCCTCAGCCTTTTTAAAGACAGATTGTTCACTGCCTCTCTCCCAGGTTCCCTCTTGGTGAATTATGGTGTGCAGGTATCCCTTAAGTGCCCCTTCCTCACCCCCAGGTGCCTTTGGGTACCACAGCCAGTTCTAAACTCTAATACCTATGACCAAACTAGCCTTGACACACAGGGATCTGGGCCTCTGCTGGCTGTCAGGAGCAAAGCTTAGAGACTTGGAACTGCAGGACTAGAAGAATGGTGGAACTCCTCAGGTCCCTCCCTCTTAAGAATGCTAAGGCCTAGAAACTTGCTCAGGGTCACACAGTTGGATGATGACAGAGCTAGACCCCACAGTTCCTGATTCCAAGTTACTTGTGCTTTCTGGGACCAAATAGTGGGCACCTGCTGGAGCCTGAGCAGAGAGCCATCTTGGCTTGATGCTACTCCAGACCTTGCCATAGGTGGAGGTCCCAGCAGGAGGGCTCAGGGCCTATTTTAGCCCTGTCATTGCTGCTCAAACCCTAAGAGCCTCTCCTGTAAGTCTTTGCTGCCCCTTTCCTATCGCCAACCAACACATGACCTTGGGAGCTGCCCTTCTGGGGACCAGAGGTAGTGAGAGAAGGAAGGGGGTAGGCAGCTTTGACAGGTGCTGTTTTCAATTCCTCTGCAACTCCTCCCTCTTATTTCCCCAATTTAAGCATAGGTTCTGCCAGCTGTAGAAACTTCAGTCCCTCAGGCTGGCAGCCGCTGCTGGTACCTGCCTGGGGGGGCCTGGCAGCCATGAGAGGAGCTGAAAGGTAGAAGGACTCCTCACTGCACGTGGTGATGTCCCTCCTCCACCTCCTCCTCTTTCCTAGAGCTAATACACAGGTGCTGTTACTCAGAAAAAAAACTGGTCAGCTCTGGCCAACAATGAGGTTTCTTCTCTTCTGCCCTAACTGTTATGTAGCCTCCTAGCTGAAATCAGCTTCTCCTGTCTTCTCCGGCTTTTAGAGCCCTGAAACAAAGGGAAACAGGATCTGTCTCTACCCAGCACAGCAAATGGTTGTAGTGATTGCCAAAGCCCTCGTAAACCCTTCGGCTTGAGGAGAGTGTATAATCATGGGTACTGGCTGCTGCTGTGCCCTGCTGAATGCTCCCCCTCTGCCTTTGTTCCTTGAACTTGGGGTGTGGGGACTGAGCCTGTAGGTGCCAGCTTGCCCTCCTGCTGTGGCTCTCCAAAGTGTGCCCCCTCCCTCTTCTCAGATGAGGTGTCTCTGACACAGGACTCAAACCAGGCTCCCGTGCTGAGCACACCAGTCTCCGCATGCCCCCACCTTGCCTCCCACCCCACACTTTGGAAGCTGAAGGTGCTTTTACCAGAACTGTGAAAGAGCTGTTGAAGGTGCCCCCAGCTGCAGCCCAGCAGTGGCTGGAGAGGCAGGCAGAGGGCAGTGGTTCTCCAAATAGGAGGCCTGGGGCCTGGCCAGGCCAGGGTTTGGGCCTAATGGCTTTGACTAAATTACCCCCACCCCCCTTCTTTCCGGAAAAGGGGGAACCAACACCACTTTCTGTCATTCTGCTCTGACCTTGAAGGAGGCAGTGATGGCCTGGCTTCTGGAATGGACAGAGTCCACAGTGGAAAGGGCTAGGGGCAGGAGGAGGTGGGGAGGGGCGCTGCCTGTGGAAGGTAGGATTAGATCATTAGCTCAGTGACCTCCTAGGGTTTCGATGTGCTGTGTTCTCATCCTACAGCTGGTTTGGTAATGATCTGCAAGTCCCGGAGAGCAACAGCACAGCTCTGCCTGACGCTCTCATTAAAATCTATGCAGCCAACCTCGGCGCTTTGTAGCAGGCGGCCTTGCGAAGCCGCCTCAGCTCAGGGGCTGGGGACCCAGTCAGCCGAGAGGCCCTCTGGGCTCTACTTATGCATATGTGCACAAAAAAGAAAAAAAGGGCTTTTTAAACTGAGCCCTTTAAGATGCGAAATGACCCAATGCAGCTAATTGTTTTTTTAGAATCCTGCAGAATGCAAAGTTTAGTGATTATTTAAACTGGGGCCACGCTGGTAAGAGTATGAAACAATGGCCCTTAAGGACCTTAAGAGCTGAAACCAAGGAGTCACCTCCCTTCCTGGTCTGCCCAGCCCAGGGGACCTGCCCCCATTCCTGTGGCCCAGGGCTCTGCATCCAGTGGGTAGTGTCAGAAGTGACTTGTGGCTTCGCCTTGGTCGTGAGATGAGTACATTCCAGAGGAGCAGCCAAGGGGAGGGGGCAGGCTCAGCGATCCCTTGGAGGCTCAGAGCAGCTGGCCCAAGCTCCAGCTCGCCTCTGATGGAAGCTCAAGCTCCCTCAGAAACAACCCTGGCCAATGTCACCGCTGAGCCAAGGTGGTGTTGTCAGGGCTAATGTGAAATCTCTTCCCGTGGCGCCGATCCTCCGGCTCTGCAGCGCCAGCTTGGACAGATTGAGGTCTCTGTGGCTTTGGTGACCCTGCTTAGCATTCCCATCGTGTCTCAGCTCTGCTCTTGGACTGTCTCCCACCACAGCCCCCCTCCCTGACCTCAGGGTTGGGAGAGGGACAGTGCCCCAAAGCCAGGGGGCTTTTGCTCACGAGAGATGTCAGGTTTCCTGTGGGCTTTGAGCTCTGCTGGGGTCCCACGGACCTAAGAGGAGGTGTCACACAGAGATGTGCCTCGTTCTGTGCCTCTTCCCGCAGTCACTTTAACAGGGCCTCCATGAGAGCTAGGGAACAATTTTGTTACTGTATTAACTTTATCCAGTTAATTTACTTGAGAAACTAACCAATTTTTACTTTCTGTCTAGAATGATGTACACGTAGGAGAGTGAGCTGTAATGCTCCCGAAGTGCCTTGTTTTCTCTGATATAAATATATTTATAAGGACATATTCCAGTGGGTTATTGGGTGAATTTGCCACATCAGGGTTTTAGGGAGTGGGCATGTATGTAGTGAGGATACAATCTGAAAAATACTCGCTTTCCTCAGAAGATGGAAAAGGAGCTTCTGTTGGGGATCCGAGCAATGGGGTTAAGCCAGGCCCCTAAAGTGACCCTGCAGTTGTTGCCTTTCCCCCTCTTCATCTTCTCAGGCCCTTAGAAGCACACCTACCTTATTATTTTAAAGCCCTGTGGCTCCAAGCCTGGGCTCATTCCCTGCCAGGCTTGTAAGTGTGTACCACATTTGTACCCTAGTGTTTTTAAGATTCCTTGAAATCTTTCATGTATACACATGAATACTTCAATGCCAATACTTTAAACAATTTGATAAAGTCTTTTTAGCCGCTTAACCACCACTGGTGTATCGTTCTTAGCGGGAGGAGAAGCTAGAGGGAGGCAACATTGGTAACCACAGGTGGTGACCAGAGCTTGGGCAGGAGATCTTGTGTGGGTGGGCTTAAGGGCAGGAGGCCTTGAGGGTCTGGATGGTGCAACCTGTGCAGGAGGTGGGGAAGGGGGTGGAAATCATTTGGGTTTAGGAAGAGGTGGGGAGACCTGGAGGTCTGGATCCCCAGGCCCCATCAACTGGCTGAGGATTGGGGGTGGGGGAGGCAGGGGGAGGTGACAAGCTGTTGGCAACTCCTTGCATCAGGCAGGAGAGGAGCACAGGCTGCATACTGATGTTGCCTCCTAACATCTGGCGGGCATCTTGTCTGCCTCTCAGACTCCAGCAACTTACCTTAAATAGAACGACTTACAATGGAATCCGATAAAACATTTAGGCTGCTGCACGCCCCTCCTTGCCTAGGGAAGGCCGAGGGGGCTGGGTTTATATCCTGACCTGAAAAAGTGACCTACCCAGGAAGCAATGGTTGTTCCCAGCACAGCTGCTGCGGGTAACTGTCCCTGGGGGTAATTTATGAGCAGACACCCGGTTCCGGTCCCAGTAGACTCAGTGGAGTGGCCCCCGGGAGAGAGGTGGGGGCAGAATTGGTGCCTGCCGGTCACGCCTGCTGTTCGGAAAGAGTCACCCACTGGCATCCCAGGAGAGGGGGTTAGAAGTTTTGAATTGTCAGCAACTGCTGCGCCAGCCGCTCTGAGCTCATCGCTGGAGGTGGGAGTGCAGGGGAGGGGGCGCGAAGCCGGCTCGCCCCGGCGGCGGAGCCCCTCCGCTCCACCCTCCTGCTCAGGCCTGTGTTTAGTCAGCACTTGGCTTCCCGAGGCCGGTGACTGACAGGCAGCCAGACGCCTGCCCTGAGAGAAGACAAAATGGTGGTATCGGGAACCGCCCTTACTTGGGAATTGGAGGGAAAGAATGTGGTTCTGGGAAGCAGAAGGCCTGAGCTTGAATTCTCGCTCTTGGGAGCTGTGACCTTGTGTAAGTGGCTTCACCCCTTTGGGCTGATCCTAAGAAGAATGAGCACTTACTGAGCGCCCACTACCTGCGAAAGACTGCATATACTTTATCTCAGTTGCATGAGGTAAGGGTCCTAGTTTCCCATTTGACAAAGCGGCAAACAGGTTCAGAGAGGTTATTTGAGTTTCCTAAGAGTGTAGCTGACTAGGAGCAGAGCCACGATTTGACTGTTTGTTTTTTCTCAACGCAGAGTTGAGAAATCCATGCTATTTCCACCATGCAGTTTAAACAGAGTCTCCATCTAGAAACATGGTCTTTAGTGCCATACAGGACATTTTGAAGGTTTGCAATTCTTGCCTACCCTACACCTTGGTGCCCAATTTTACGGTGCAGTTACAGGTGATGGTTTTTTTGCTCTTGAATCAGAGGATGTCGACGGAGGACCCAAATATCCAGTACCTTTAGAGCTGGAAGTGTGCCTATCTAGGGAACAAAGTGCTGGGGCTTCACACAG